ACACGTGAGGAAAAAATAAACGATCAGTTGTGGGACTATATTCTGCCATAAATCGAACACCATTCATTGCTGAACTTTCTACCGTCTGTTGCTGGAAATTAAATTACTGGTTGTTATGTCCCGATCTCAATAAAGTTTACACACGCTTTTGGTCCATGAATTAGATCTTGCTCGGGATGTGCACTGTCTCTTTGATGAATAGAAAGTTCAAAAGAACATTTATTTGAAATAGAAATCTTTTGTAGCCTTATAAATCAGTTTTGAACTACTTAATGTATCCTTGCTGAATAAAACATGTTTTATTGATCCCAAACTTTTGAATGGTAGTGTATATGCTTATTTGCACAGTACTACTTTGTGTCTCCCCCTTGTCTAATTCAAAATCTACCAATTAATTTAATTGAGCAATTTTATTTAGGTCTCTTCTGCTATAATTAAATTGCGTTGTATTGTTAATAAAGACATTATATTTCCCCTAGAATTTCCCATATCAGCCAATGCGAAACCCATTTCAGTCTTTCATTAGTGTCTTGTAGGCCCCAGTGCAATGTGCTGACCCTCTGTTTCCTTCTGTGGTGCCACCAAACCGCGCACATGAGCATCTCCCCTGCTATGATTAGCAGCCCTGAAAGCTTATATACACACGGTCCTCCTCAGCCAGTGGCGTACGGCCAGAGGAACAAACATGAAAGGGAGGAAATGCCAGGAGCGTTTTTAGCAGGGTCACAGTGACGACTCGAGCTAATCGTGCTCATTAGCCTGATGGTTGTAGTAGGTATCTGTGTATCTGCTGTAGGTACCACTGAAAAGCTTCGAGTGGGATGTTTGAGGTCTGGCGTGTCATTCGTGTGGTTTATGGACGTCGTTTGGTGGAAGCAGCACAGGAAGGAGCCGGCCGGCCCTGTGACCACTCTTAAAACCTCTAATTTGGACAATTTAACTGAGAGAATAGTTTCCATGTCTGTTTGTATGAACTCGCCTTTAAAGTTCAAAGTTGCACAGACTGAAGTTTGATAAGAAGTCTTTACATTGTAATCTTTTAGCGATTTAGATGATCTAACTACTTTTGCCCACCATCCACCGCCCAGTTTGACCAGCCACATTTTTATTGGAAGATTATTATATTATATTATATTATATTATATTTTAGATATTTTATATTTGTATTCATTTTAGTAATTTTATGTGATTTTTGTATTATATTTTTATTTTAGTTTTAGTTTTAGTTTGGATTCAATTTTATTTATTTTATTTACTTGTAGTAATTTTAGTGCTTTAACTTAAACAAACAAATCAAACATTAGAAATGTTCCTTTGGCAGCAAGTTTATTCGTGTTTAATGCTTATTCAGTGTTTTCAGCTTTACTACAGTTAACAAAAATGTTACGATAAAAACCCTGGTTTATATAAATTTGCAAAATGTGCAACAACAACTTTTAGTGGATCGAAAATGTACCCAATTTAAATTTACATTGGCTTTAAAAGTGAATTTGAATCACTTTGATTAGTATCCTAGTTCACTGACTCAAAAAATTAATCAAACACATACCGATGTCTTTTCCATTTGAATGGCTTCATTCATGTCTATATGTAAATATGTTTATCCTGCCACAGATTTAGCTGACTAGTCCGTGTTTTCAAACTGACATTGATATGCTGCCCTGCATGACAAAAGTTTAACTATTTATAACTTAACATGGCGTCTTTAAAACGTGTCTTGTCATGAGACTCTGAATAACAGTGAGACATGCTGTAATGGCTAAAGACGTCCATCTAGTTCAAAAAATACATAGTCAAGCACTTAAGAAATGCCTCAGATGAGCACAGTATTTTTTGTGAACACCACCCTCACATATTTATACTAGAAGCAAGAAGCACAAGTAGATTGTCTCATTATAACCGCTGATGGTCTGGGTCCACACGTTCATCCATCTATAAAGCAAAACTGCACAAAAATGCCTGGCTGCTGTTCATTTCACACATGTTTAGAGGACAGAGTTTGTCGGACTCTGTGTTCTTGCTCTGTAATCCCAGACAGTGTGTCAAGGTTGTGTGTGATATGCTGTGACTTGTATTAAGAATCAGCCCGAGGGACTTCCACCAGTTGTGGTTTCTCACTCTTAAATGTGACAGTGGTTATTCTTTAACAGAAAGAGAAACTGCTGTATCACTGTAACTTTCCTTTTTCTTGCTGCCCTACAGTCACTTCTCAAATCCCAGTGAGGAACAAATACCCTGTCCATCTCTCGGGGTGTGTGGTGACTCACTCCAGACACAGTAGCTTTCTCCTTTCATTGTTGCTAGGAGTATGAGACCCCCTGACAACGCCGGTTAGACGTCTTTATGTACACAGTGGCTACAGGCAGTTTTAATGAAATCCCAAAAAAGTGAGACGCCGCAGAGTGAGAACAATAGCTCCAACTCTGAAAATGTCATGCATTCGGAGCCGTTCTCTATGGCTTTCTTTAGACCTGACTACTTCGGGAGCCTTCAGGATATTGTTAAATAATAATAATTACATTTTGGGGGGCATTTTTTAAAAGAAATTCTGCAAGGATTCATTAAATCAATCAAAAGTAAAAAAGAAAAAAAAAATCTATTCATCAAAGAATTCTTCAGAAAAGGACAGTTTACAGAAAATATTAAACAGCACAACTGTTTTCAACATTGATAATTTTCACTGAAGTAATGGCTGGAAATTCAACTTTCCAATCACAGGAATAAAATACATTTTAAAATATATAAAAAAAAAAAAAACAGTAATTTGACATGTATGAAAATAAAAATATAATGCATTATATTTTTAACAAAAAAAATAAGAATTGAAAGTAAAAAATCCAATACACATTAAACTTTCATTACAATAATATTTCCTCACAATCTCTGTGCCATTTGGATTTATTGGATTGTGTGGATTTGTTATTCCGTTAGTTAGCTAACATGTCAGTTTAAAGTCCCTGTAAAGTCAATATTAAGTATGTGTTCTGAGTAGGGTTGCAAAAAGTTGGAAAATTTCCAGTAAATTTTGGAAGTATTCCAGAAATTGGAAATTTTCCACCCCTTTGAAACCTTAGTTCTGAGTTTGTCACACCACAGAAAAATTTATTATTAACCACTCAGCCAAATTTGAATGATAAAAAAATCCGCTAAGTAAGTACATAAAATAAGTTATCAAAATCTCGAAAAAATGGGCAGTATCCTCAGCTCTCAGATGCTGGGGGCGTGTCCGTTGTCTGTGCTGAAACCACGCCCACTCTCGGGAAAGCTGCCGCCTCTTAACTGTCAAATACCGCTATAGCCTGAATGGATGCTCCTAGCAGCTTAATTGGATTTACAATATTTGCCCATACATATTTGCTCCGGTGCGTCATTGACGGTTATTATAGTGTTAGGGGAGGGCCATGATCAGTGGCTCCAGTGCGCCATCGAGCCACTGTTTTAGCCCCGCCCAGAAAATCCTGAACACAGAATTGGTGAAAAACTGTTTAACGGTCTAACTCCACTATTCAGTACTACAGAATTCACAGTCTTTGTAATGTGTTTCAGTTAATACATTTGTAATATTTATAATGCGTTTAGAAACTATTCTCAGAATTGACTTTACAGGGACTTTAACTAATTGTAGCTCGAACAGGAAGATTCTGTTGTGTTCACCTGAATGAGAAAACTATAGAAAATCCATGACATCTCTTGCGGCATCACTCAAAATGCTATGCATACTAATATTGCACTGAAGTGTTTCATAATGCAGCGACAAGTGAAAACAAGCTTGGGAAAAAAAACCCTGTCTGTCTCCTCATTCATGTCCCTCTCTGTCCATCTTTCTCTCTCTTCACCCTCGAGCAGCCAGGAGCTATGGTCGCAGAAGAGGTAACCTGTCACCTTTTTATCTTTGTGCTCGCAGAAATGATGGGGCTTTTGCTAGGGCTGAATTCTTCCTTGTCTATGAGGGTCACTGGGGGTCATAATATCATAATATCTGCTTCCTTTGTGCAGTGACTGCATTAATTCATGTTGATTTTGCCATTGTTTTCTGCTAATTAAAATATTGTTTCCTTTTATGTTATTGCATACATACAAAGGAATATTTTAGCTATTGGTTTCTTAACAAAATGAGCAATGGATGGTAGAATATTATGTTGACAAGATCTGTTTGAAGTGAATCATATGGGCTTGCTGCAACTCTCATTTCAAGTCTTGAACTAATTCTGTCATCCAGTTCTGTGTCCAAGGGTTTTGCGCCTCACATGTGTTGGCTTTGGCTCTAGTTTGGTTCTAGTACTCCTCTCATACCCCTTTTCCACCATGAACCACTAATATCTTAAAACTACAATCACCGAAGCTGTCTGAAAGTCCCAAATGAGACAGGATGCCTTTAGTTAATGGACACCCTGATTCTATTTTTGACTACTCATTCCTCATCTGTCTAAAATAAATTGATTTGCAATCATATATGTGAGTTCATTATTGTTTTTGTTACATGTTTTAAAAACAGATCAATTAAGACAGCATTTTGAAACTGAATTAAATAACTTTGCATGTTTAAATATGTTCTCAAAACTAGGAATAGCGATGGAAAAGGGATATCAGTGTTTGTGTCTAAAGGTCTTCCAATCACAGCACTAATTTCTTATTTATTTTATTAATTTTATTTATTTGTATTTTTTGCATTGCAAAAGAAAATTTGCTTTGTTTTATGACGCTTTGAATATATCGATTGCATCTCTGTTTTTTAACGTGTCTTCAGGTTAACACTTCACAAATATGAGTAAAAAAAATAAAGAAATGGGTTGTCTTTTGTAATTATTGGAGATTTTTGTGTTTATGGTGTTTAAAATTGATGAATTTTATGAAAGCTTCATTGTTTCATTTCACTTTGGAACAATCCAGTTTCATGTAATATTTCATTAATTAATAATTTTTAACCAAAATATATGGTTATTTATGCCATTGAAATACATATCATAATATATGTATATACTACCATTCAGAATTTGGGGTTTGCATGATTTTTTCATGTTTTTATAAGAAGTCTCTTATGGTTGCCAAGGCTGTGTTTATTTGATCAAAAATACAGTAAAATCAGTGATATTTTGAAATAATGTTCCAGTTTAAAATAGTTTTCTATGTTAATATATTTTAAAATATTATTTATTTCTGTCATGCGAAGCTGAATTTCCAGCATCTTTACTCCAGTTTTCAGTGTCACATGATCCTTCAGAAATCATTCTAATGTGCTGATTTGCTGTTTAATAAACAGTGACAGATTTTTTCAGGAATCTTTGATGAATATAAAGTTAAAAAACAGCATTTTAATATAAATGTTATGTCTTTACAGTAACTTTTGATCAATTTAATCGTAATTTTGAAATAAAATGGTAGTATATTACATTAAATTAATATTATAACTTTCAGTGAGTTTAAATTAATTGGTGTAGAAATCTAGTGGGTTTTTTTTGTCATTTTTTTGTCCACTAATCAGTTTCTCTCCTCTGGCTTTCTCTCTCTTTCATCTCCTTTCCTGTGTGATTCCTCCTGATTCCTCCTTTTCTTCTGTTTGTTTTCTCTACTTCCTGTTGCAGGTCGCTCTTCACTGTTTCCTTTCGAGGACGGCTTCCTGGACGACGGTCACGGTGATCAGCGGCTGACCTCTGGCCTGAGCTCGCCCAGCCGCTGTCAGAACGGAGAGAGGATTGAGCGCTACTCCAGGAAGGTGTTTGTCGGAGGACTGCCACCAGACATCGATGAAGGTACATAGACACGCCTCAGTACTGAGCTTGAGTTTGGAGGGTATGTTAATTAATATTTAATCAATATTATATGTATTAAAGGTACAGTATCATAAATCGAAAATTGTATACACAATGATTTTAGTGCTGATATGTATCTGTTTCAGGTTTATTATCATTAAAGAGAGAGTTCACCCAAAAATGAAAATTCTATCATCATTTACTCATCCTCAGTTTCTTTCTTCTGATCGCTCAAGATATTTTGAAGAATGTTTTGAAAAATAGTTGCTGGTAGCCATTGACTTCAATAAGGAGAAAATACTATGGAAGTCATTGGCTACCAGCAGCTGTTTGGTTACCAACATTCTTCAAAATATCTTTTTGAGGGTGAGTAAATTATGACAGTTTTCATTTTTAGGTGAACTATCCCTTTAACTAAAACTAAATCCAAAACTATTAAAACATTTAGTTTAGGTAGTTTCCAAAGCAAAAATTCTAATTTTTGTTTAGTTTAAATTGAAGCAATGAAATGACTAAAATATTATATATTGAAGTAACAAAAACTAACAAAAATGACCAACGCACATAAAAATTGTCAAAAATGTAAATGAAAAAAAAAAAATATATATATATATAAAATGTTAATAATTTTTTTTTTAATGATTATGATTGTTCATTAACTGGTGTCTTCTGGATGCCCTTGAAATTCCCTACTTTTATATATAAATTAAAAAAAACGAATTAAAACTATAATAGTATATAAATAATAGTTAAATAACACCAATCTGTTTGTTGCCTTGAAGAAAGATTGAGGTATGTCCGATTTTTTGTTTATAGTTCTTAAAATTGTCAAATAAATAAAGGGATTTTAAAAAATGCTAAAACTTTAATGACAGTTTGTGGGAATGTGGGAACTTTATTTTTCTAATCATTTAGAGTTGTTTTTCACCTGGTTGCCAATAAAGGTCAATAAAATAAAATGAATGAATGGAATGAATTCAATTCAGTTCAATTCAATTCAATTCAATTCAATGAACATTTCCTTAAATTTGCCACTGACTTAAAGTATATCTTCTGACCAAAATATTATATAGACTGTGAGCTATGCATTTTTGGCCACAGAAAAACACCAGGCAAATGACTAAAGATTTTTGATATTCATAGCAATGAACTGCATTTTAAAGAATTAGAGTCTACAGCATTGTTATTCAGAGGAGATGCAGTGACTGCTTGCTTTTTTTTTTTTGCAATGTTTAAAATCCATATTTCTGTCCTAAACACTTTCCATTTTTCTAACAGATGAGATCACCAACAGTTTCCGTCGCTACGGTCACCTGGTGGTGGACTGGCCTCATAAAGCAGAAAGCAAATCCTATTTTCCCCCTAAAGGTAATGACATTGACATCATCTCTCCTGCAGCACTTCAATACAGCTGCAGATGTTTAACAGTTCAGTGAGCGTATGATTCCCCTTGACACTTCCTTCGTTTGAGTGAAAATAGTGAAAGTATTACGTCACAGCCGGTCAGAGCGTTTGTAATCAGCATGCACCTCAAATGAGTCTATTGTGTGGATGCTGGTCAGTGTTTGGTCTCAGAGCATCGGGAAACTGTTGTGTTGTGTGCGTCAGATTGGTCTCTATCTCGTCAAAGTGCCTCCAGGTGTTCATTGCTATGGCTTGAACAGACGCACACAGACAAGTACTTACAGATACACACCTAGAGGGAGAAACCTACTGCATTTCATCATGTTACACACGTACATGTTTGTGTGAGTACCTGGAAAGAGGTAACAGAGATTGTTTGGAAGGGTAAACAGAGCACAGGTACAATCCACATATCATATCCTTGAAATTTGAAAAAATATACTTATACTCATATTATACTATGTATATTTGCTTAATTAATTTAGCAAATAGATGTTTCCTTAAGTTGTTTTTTTTTTACTTAGTTATGCCTGTTATAATGTACTGTACAAGCTTTTGTTACTTTCACTGTTCATTTTATTGCTTTTATTTATCTTATTTATATTATATATCAGTGCATCTATGCTTTTAATAATATAATAGTAATTGTAGTTAATTTTATTTAATTAAATATATATTCAAAACTATATACACATACATACATATGTATGTTATAATTAACTACTGATTTATTTATTTTATTTTATTTATATGACATTAATTACCAGAAATGTTGATTAATTTAATTTATTTTCTGGCTTTTTATAGTTAAAAGTTAAAAGCTTTTAACAATTTGTATATAATTTTCTTTATTATTATATTATGTAATAAAATATAGTGTGTGTATATATAAACACACACACACACACACACACACACATACATATTAGGGATGCACGATATTGGATTTTTGCTGATATACAATATGCTGATAACTGATGCCAATACCAATATATTTCCTTTGTTTGGAAAACACCAAATCTCTCCTGTGCAGAGATTATGAACAAATTATTTTTAATTTTGGTTAGTTTTTAACAAAAAATTGACGTGCTAGAATAAAAAAAAAGTTATTTTATAATAAGAGTACATTGAAAGATTTGAAAATAACTATAAACCAATTACTGCATTTTTTCCCTTCAGACAGATGCAGTTAACATTTTATTTGAAGATTTAACATGTGTAGATGATCTAAAGCAAAAGAGTTGTAAAAATTCTGGAAATCTTTTATAGCTCCTTGTATTTAAGTTTTCATAATCTGTTTGGGAAAAAATATAACACACATTAATGAATAAATCTGTGTGTGTGTGTGTGTGTGTGTATATTTTATATATATA